GGTGTGAATGGGAGCAGTGAGCCAGGAGCCAGGTGCCACAGGGCTGAATTCCTACTCCACACTCTTCCTATTTGCGCAGCTCAGGCCCAGTGCTCACATTCCTGGTTTATTAGCTGAAGACACAACCCACTCCAGGAGAGCAAACAAAAACCTGACCCAGCTCCCGGGTTGTGCAAGGACTGAGCACATGAGGAACAGTGTGGGTTTGTGTCCAGCACGGCCGTGCTGCTCGGAGCAGGATCAGCGGGGGATTGAGGAACAGCAGGGGAGGCTCACGGGGAGGGATGTTCCTTCTTGCCTTTACAACCAGAGCTGGGAGAAATCTGCCAAATTATTTTTCACCAAACAACCCAAAGTGGTGTTTTCTGAACTTCCCGTACCTGGTAATGACATTTTTTGAGTGTCAGAATACAATAAGTAAGATTGGGGGAACCTTGATTTAGTTAAAGATTAATTTGCTTTACTTGGGGATCAAAAAAATTCATAATGAAAAGTTGGTAGTTTTTTGGTTTTGTTTGTTTGTTTTCATTGTTATTAAGTACCACGGCTTTTTTTCCCAAGGTAATTGGGCACATCCAAAATGCCATTTCCATTTAGGACAATGTTCCTTTGAGTAAGCTCTGAGCAAGCTCTGAGCAGTTACTCCATCCAAGGAGAAAACTTGCGCTCAACAGTTTTGAAGTGGCAAAGAAAAAAGGTTCACTGGAGATGCTGAGCAGTGTCAGAGGTGGCAGATCCCTCCCCACAGCATCCCTGTCACTAATTGCCATCCCAAATTCCCAGCCAACAGCACCTGGAGCAGTGCCTGCTCCTCCCAGTAGCTCCAGTCAGGGCTGAGCTGAGCCAATGTGTTCGCTGTCTTACTCACCCCTGGGGTTTGACCTGCAGGAACCAACAGGAATGTTGGCTTCCGATTTTTCTTCCAGCCCTGTTTCCAGCTGGAGTATTAAATGTCCAAGGCTTTGAATAAAGGGGTCACCCACACGGCAGTGTCGGAGGGGAGCCAGGTAATCTGAACCTGGAATCTCTTGTGGGAAAGGGACCTGAAGAAAGGAGCTGAAATGGCCCCAAGGGAGCAGTGCAGGAGGACAAGGGACTTATTCAGGGCTGGCAGTGGAGATGAGGAATTAATGGCCTGGGCAAGGAGGCTGGATCTTTGCTGGACCTCAGGCTTTCTCTCCAGTGAGATGAAAGCTTTCAAGACATGATGCTGAGTGGCACCATTCTGGTGCAGGCCCTTTTGGGAGACAAGGGGGTCTGTGGAGACTTCCATGAGCCAGTTCATGACCACTGAACATAATTTACTCTTCCATTGGTGTGTTCTGCCTGGCCAGGACCAAGCAGCCTCCTGCGGAGCCTCTCTGCCCGTGGCTCCCCAGGGAGATGATCCCTGTCCAGGGCCAGGCCAGGCAGGAAGTGGCTCTTCTCTTTGTGCTGGTGCCCCGTGTCCTGTTACGGCACCGAGGCCTGGCTTGGGTTACGGGGGTGCAGTGTCAAGTGACTACCCCTCAGCACTGCGCTCCGCAGCCTCACTCAGCCTCCAGAATCCCTCTTCCAGCCCTGTGCCCTGTCAAGTTCTGGTCTTTCCCACAAATGAGTGTATTGAGCATGGAGTGGGCAGGCTGTACCCCGTGGGCCCTATCTTACAGGTTTTCCCGGAGTGCAGCTGAGCACCGCAGGGACAGACAGAGCCAAACAGAAAAACTGCTGCTTCCCACAGCCCCCCAAGAAATCACTGTCACATCAAACTGCCCTGGGCTCCGCAGCTTCTCCTGGCTGTGCTGCCCGATCCCTCCGGAGAGCCAGCGCTGTCTGAGCAGCCGTGGGAGCAGCTGAGGGCACACCTGCAGGAGCCCACCTGAGACCCTGCACTGAGGGGTGGCAGCAGCTTTGCTGCTGTGGGGAGCACTGGGCAGAAACGCCTCCTGCCAGCCCCTCCTGTGGGCTCTGCCCCAGCCACGCTGGTTTCCCCCCAGGCTTTCATCCAGGCTGAGCAGAGCCCGTAAGCTGAGAAGCCACCTCAATTATTTATGGGGTGCATTAACATTTATTCAGCCGCTGGCTGTGCGGGGAGGAAGGTGGCAACTTGATAGGTGCCAGCCATTCCCCTGCTGCCAGCTGAGCTGGGGCTCAGCTCCTGCAGCCACAGACCCTTCCAGAATGTGGAGCTGAACAAATGGGATGCTGTTTTGCTAAGGGGGGAGAAAAAGATGAGTGTCCTGCTCCCCTGAGAGCCGGGAAACTCCACTGAGGGTGGCTGACCAGTTAGAAAGCCTATCCAACTCTGGTAGGGATAGAGCCAGGGGAGGGTATCTCGGGGCTTTAAGCCAATTTCATTGCAGAATTCTCTTTGGTTATCTCTCCCCATCCCTCTGTGCTCACCACAGTGAAGAAGACGTGGTGGTGGGCAATGTACTTAGTGACCAAGGCAATTTCAGCAGGCCAAGGGTGACACCAGGGCCGTGAGCCCGTGTCCTGTGAGGACCTTCACACTCTGTCCTGGAGCCCCCAGGGCAATCCCCCACCTTCATCATCCAGTTGCCTTTCTGTGCACAGCCTTGAGCTGCTTCTCTGCTCCAGCCTCACCACCACGATTTTAAATATCCCTCTGCAGGGTCTCACCTGAGGTGGGTTTAATATTCCCAATAAGCCCCTGTTGATCTCAGGGACACCTCAGCCCTCAGGTAACATTGTGTACCTGCCTTTGGCACCCCTGTCACGTTAGGCCAGTAGTGTTGTAGATAAAACATCTTTGGAAAGCTAAACCCAAGGCCTTGGTCACCAAGAAATAATATTTAGACACCTGTGTGCATTGGAGCACCTGTGATCATTACCCAGCAAGTTTTAAATGCAGTGGATGCCTGCATGCTGGGAATCTGGGAGTCACTGCACTCATTTCTTGGAGGTCTGGCAGTGTACAGACTGAGGGTCCAGCCTGATTGCACTGGAGAAAAATGGGAATTTGGAAAGTCTTGTCAGCTCCAAGCGTCCCTAAGCAGCATCATAATCACATAATGAAGGCCAGCTCGGCTTAGTGTGATTTGTTTCATTATAAAACATAATTCTCCCTGGAATTTTAGTTCTTGCCTGCCCTCTACCCCCAAATGTGCCAGCTTACAGCAGAAATTAATGCTGGGGGAGGGAGGATCCAAGTGGGAAGGGGACCAAGACATTTAAATATTGGTTTGCACGTGCTGAGTGCCCTTTCCTGAACTAAGGGGTGGGCTTCCAGTGCTGCCAAGCAAAATCCCTTTGGATATGCTCATGCAGGAGCTGAGCTGGCCAACAGCCTCGGATTTGTGCAGGGAATGCCTGCAGGGCTCGTTCTGTGCTCCAGCAGAGGCAGGGAAATAATAGGCAGCTGCTTTACTCCTCTTGAGGATTTGGCCCAGGGACGTACAGTCCTCATTTAAGGTTTGCTGGAATTTGGTCAAAGAGGTCCCAACCCTGGTAAAATTTGCTTTTGGGGTGTGTTCATGCGAAAAAATGTAAAAGATGGAATTCTGTGTTGAAAAGTGCTTATTTGAGAGCTGTGTTTGTTCTAAAGGCAGTCTGTCAGCCTTTCCCCTGGCTGGTTTTTCTGGCAGAGGCATCCTGGGGTGCTCCCTACTCCCTGTGCTGTGGCACCATCAGCCTTGGGCTCAGCATTAGATCCCTCCCTGGAACCCTGCCGGCTCGGAGCCCTGGGCCCCTGCCCCCATGGGTGCCAACCCACACACCTGCATGGCTCCACCACCACTGTCAGCTCTTGGGTCCGTTTCTACACCTCTCTGTACTCCTGTTTACCTGGAAACCACAGGCCTGCCCCTGATGGGATGTGCTGGAGTTTCAGTGCACAGCTGAAGGAATGATGCCCTTGGAGGCACGAGGAGTTTGTCTGAACTAGCAGTCCTGTGTGCACTCAAAATTTCCACACCTCACCCTCTTGCTTCTTTATCATGTGTCCTCCATCTCCAGAAGTGACTGACGTGGTTAAACCCCCACTTGGCACCTGCCCATCCTGCAGCATCCAGGGCAGCCCAAATTTCTGCTCTACCTGTATCCCCATGTTTCATTTATTGGCAGCTAATTGAAGTTAGTTACCAATGGCTTTGTTTAACACTAAGTACAGCCCCTGCCATCCCACTTCTCCCCAGTGAGATAAGTCACTGCTCCAGGCTACTCCACTTGGATAAAGCTTCAGCCAAAACCCTATGACAACCAAAGTCACTTCCCAGAGACAAACAAACCACCTTGGCAGCCTGTAGCTGCTGAGGGCGATTTCTGATCAAATAGATCTCCAAGGAGAAGCACACACAGCCTGTTCATTCCCAATTAAACATCAAGAGGGTAAATCCTGGCTCTCAGGAGGAAGAGTTTGCAGGCTCAGACTCCCCAAGAGCTGCGAGTGTTCCCCCAGACAACTCCCATCTTCCCAGGGAATAAATGAAGGAGGTGATTTCTCACAAGACTTTCTGCTTGTTCAGCCCACCCCACAGGCCAAATCTTCCCCTGGGGAACATTGAAAGAGCTGCTCAGATCAAGACTAACTGTTTTTGGTACCTAAATGTTCTCTGTGGTGGTTTGTGAACAAGCTGCCTCTTGAGCTGTGCACAAACACCCATCCTACCCATTCCCTGCACTTCCAAAGAGCCAAAGGGCACCAGAGTTTTCATGGTTCACTGAGTAGTTAGAAGAGGATAATCATTAACCTGCTGAGGACAGTCTTTCTTTTGTGAGGTCTTTTATCAGGGGATCTTGCTAACAGACTGGAGAGGATCTGGATGAGGGGAAGCAATGTTCTGTTCCCACAAAATCCCAGCTGTCCCCAGTGCGGGAGGTGTTGGCACAGACATAAGTTGTGTTTTTGCCGCCAGGTCAGGCCAGCCTGTCATGTATGGAGCTCTGGATTCACGTGGCTTTGGTTGAGTTCCAGCCTAGAACTCCCAAACAGCCCATGCAGCTCTCCAGAGGTGCCTTTGCTATAGGAAACTTGGGATGTGTTTGTGGACACAACTCACCATACAGGTCCTTTGCGCTCAGCTTGGAGGCTCCATCAGCTTTGCCCATGCTGCCACTGGAAAAGGAGGAGGGTACAAATCAACCATCAGCTCCCAAATCTTTTTAACATCAGCTTTCACACAGCAGCTCTGCAGCTGTCCCAGAGGGACCAGCCCTTCCTTTCCTCCCCATCACATCCATTGGATGTGGTACATCTCTGAATTACCAGGGAAAGCATTTCCTCGTGGGCTGTGCCGGCGCTCCCTGTGCAACCCTACCTGTTATCCACACCATGGGGACATGTCACTGAGCCCTGCACTGGAAACAGGAGATGGAGCAGCCCAGCCAGGCCTGTCCCACTAGAGTTACCTCCACACAGTGTCCTGGGAAGGACAGTGCTTCCAGAGGGGCTGCTTTAAGGACCCCAGCTCCCAGTGTGCCATAAGGGGGGTTGTTCCAGGGAACAGCCCAGGTAAATGGAGACCCCTCCGTGTTATGCCTGAGTACCCCTGAATCTGAGGCAATGTAAGAGCCAAGATTATGATCCCTTCTGAATGGACCTGTTGGAGATGTACCCCTTTGAAGGCAGGTGCTCAGGTATAGAACATATCCCGTATAAAAATGTGGGAGGATGGAATTGTGTGCCAACAGCTGGGTTTTGGGGTGTCAGGTTCCTAAGCACCACCATGTAGGACCACCCCCATGCCTGGGTCATGGGTAGGACTGAGCAGCCAGGAAATAACAGCGTTTCCTCTGGCAGAGGAGGATCCAAGCAGGATCTGAGGTGCTGTGGTCAGGCTGTCCAGCACAGAGCAGTAGCCTGTGAGTGCACAGGGGTACCTTCTGCTCTGTCACCGTGTCCCCCTGAGGGCAGGCAGCAATTCATGGTGCTCTTACACTGTGCAGGAAGGAGGGAGAGACCTGGTGGCTGTGGCTCCACTGGGAAGCTGCCCTGGGCTGCTGTAGCCGCAAGGCTGAAGGTGGAGAGGCTCCTGGTGTCCCTCTCCTCTCTCCACCTGATGTGTCCTTATCAAACCACAGCACACAGGCAGGTGATGTGTGAGGCAGGGCCAGGTTCTGAGGTGCCCAGGAAGGGTGAAACAAACACCAGGGATTCTGGGGACAAGCGTGAGCACTTGGAGTACCCCCTGATGGTAGGAAGGAGTGGTGGAGGAAGCCCACCATGGAGATCCTTACTTGGATGAGCCGGGGTTGCTGCTGAGGGATCCCTTGTGACTCATGTCGCTTCACAGGCCGGGCAACTGCAGCAGAAGCAGAAGAGACAGGATCAGTGGTTATAAAACAGGCTGTCAGGTGATTTATCCCTGTGCATCCTGCCCTTCCTGCTCCGAGCTGGGGTCTCCGAGCAGACGGAACAGTCGGGTGAGCACAGGGGGGTTCCCCCCTGCTCCCAGACACCTCTCCCTGCTGTGACCTGGGCTGGAGGTGACACATGTCAGGATGCTTTCTCAAAACCTATTTCCTCTTCTCCCTCTTGCCCATCCCTTCCAGGCACACCCCAGATCGGTGGCATTCCAGCACGTCTTTCCCCAGCAGTGCTGCCCTGCCTGAGGTTTAACAGGGACTGAGGTGACCTTTGCCTTCCCGGTCTGTCCCTGTGCCTGTGTGCTCGTGGCTGTGTGTCCTGAGTCATTTGCCATGCCTAGAGTGCCATTAGCTTTTGTTATGTGGTAATTTTAAGCTCTACACCAGCTGGTAAAGTATGTTTATGAGGGGATTGCCCACATAAAGAAAAGTGGAATAACTGTGAATGCTGCTCCACTGGCAGCACAAGGATGGAAGAAATTGGGCTGAGGTGGCTCAGTGCTTGATGAGGGGCAGACAGGCTCCGTTCAGATTTTTTTCCTCCTCTTTCAGATGAGAATCATAAATAATGTGGGAGAAGATGTGAGAGAGATCCAGGCACTGCTCTGACAGCAGAACTGCAAGGGGGGGGAAAAAAGGGGAAAACAAGGTATAAAAAAAATCTCAGGAAATACTTTGTATTGGCATCCAAGATCTTCACCTCTGCTCCAGTGTGTGAGCTGAAGGGAAGCCAAGGCAAAGTCTGAAAGGTTTCAGACCTTAGTTCTTAGTTCACTTTAGGAAAGCTCAGGGGCACCTCTGTCCCTGGGTTGGACCCCGCTCACCTCCTGATAAGTTTGTCAGAAATCAAAGGTTTCTTTACAATACTCATTGTTGGCTTGAAGGAAGAAGTTGCTCAATGTCTTCAGTGGGTTTTCCTACAAGGGGACCTCTGAGCGTGCTTGGCATGTGCCAGGGGCTGCCCTGACAGCTATGGGCAGGCAGTGGAGCTTCCTCTCAAGGCTTGGTCTTCACTGAATTTAGGCTAAAGTGTGTGTGTAATCCCCAGGGAATACTTTGGAGTCATCCCTGCCACCTGGGATTTCCCCTCTGCTGCAGGGCTTGTTGTATCATCAGCAGACCTGCCCTAGATTCCTTACGTATCCGCTTGGAAACACTCGTTAGTGGTATTTTGCTCCATGTGTTTCACCCTGAGGTGAGTGCAGAGACAGTTTTCTCACTGATCTTATCAGCCCTGCCAGAGGGATGTGTTTATGGAGATGTAGCTCTTCAGGTGAAGCTGCACACAGAGTGTACGGAGAACCTCGGCACATTTTGGGCTCGGCCTCACAACTTGCAGCCTCTTTACTGTCCCAGTAACCCTCCTAAGCTCTGAGGCACTGCTAGAAATGACTCTCACGTGCATTTTGGAGCTAGTACATTCTTCCTTTTTCATCTCTCTTGTGGTCAATGCTGAAGTCCCTACACACACTTATAACAGGTCTAAATTCTTATTCACCTTAGAATAGTAACTTGGTGTTCTGCCAACCCTTCTGAGTGTAATAAAACCCATCCCTGTGCCCAAGCTTGGGTACCTGTGAATTTTTCCTCCCTTAATAGCTGTCTACTGGTTTCCTTTTACAGTCCTCAAACTGTTCCTATCTCCCAGATCTCCGTGTGCATTAGCATAAGGTACCTGGAAAAGGGAACTTGTGCTCTTAAAAACCCCGCTCTGCTCTGTTTCCTCTGCACCACCCAATCACTTGAGTCCCACAACTGATGATAGATGGGAATGTTTCTGCATGTTAATGTCATATTTCTGGCTCCCTTTCACTTACTGCCCCAGGGCCGTGTCTGTAATGGACTGAAATCCAGGTTACTCCAGCAGGAATGTGGCACCGAGTCTGGCCTGTGGAGCTCAAACCTGGTCCCAGGCTCCAGCTGTGAAGCAACAGGAGGAACCAGGGATGCAGCCATGGTCACCCTGGTTTTTGCTTCTCCTTCCCAAGCTCTGTTCAAAAGAAAAACTGGGATCTGCTCTTGGAGAGGCCCATCTGGTCAAACCCTACATGGCAGTGGCAGAGGGTCCTGCTCGGCTTTATGGGTGAAGCAGGACCAGCCCTAAAATGAGGCAATTCTTCATCTGATGGTGGTCAATAAAGTACTGATGGGATAAGCTGGGCTCCCCCGATGAAGGCAGGATAAGCTAGCCTGGAAGGTTGTCCTCCCTTCCAGGGTGCCTGTGTCCCAAAAAGGCCATGGAACTAGAAGCAGTGTAAATGGCTGCCCAGTCAGAACGTCCTTATCGTGCTGGGCTCCCTTTTCTCTGGTTTTTCCTGCTGTTTTGCTGCCTTGCCCTTTGCCCGGCTCTCCCCGCTGTGCTCAGGGCCGGGGCTGTGCCCAGGCTGTGGGACTTTTGGAGGGTGTGGTGTGCGCTGACCAAGTTAAACCAGGCCAGAGCCTCGTGCCAGAGCTTTTAATTCAGCGTAAATTACCTGATATTAATTGACTTCGAGCTGGAAGACTGGGAGGGGGAAGGGCACGTTTCTAAAGGCTTGGAGACTTTATAATGAGTTTGCTAAATCAAGAGACAACTGGGCTTGAGGAAGGTGAGGGAGGGGCTGAGAGCACTTCCCCTTCAGTGCAGGCAGAGCCAAAGATGGGAGAGATGAAGCTGTGGGCTGGTGGCTGGTGTTCCCCGGGTTCCCTCTCCCCATGGGAGCATCCCTAAGAGCTCCTACAGTCTGCAGCCTCTTCCAGATGTTGTCTTCTCCCTGCCCTGATTAGAGGGTTCCGATCTCCCTCTTATCTCCCAGCAGGTGTGGCTGCTCCCTCCTCCCCCAGCGGGGTGACTGCAGGGCGGGAAGAGAGAGGCAGATTTTGCCATGTGATGTGCGGCTGTGCCGGCGTCATCTTTGACTCAGCCTCAGCAAATCCAATTTCGAGACCATCACCTGCCCTTCTGCTGGTGCAGGGCAGTGTTTGTGTTTGTCACCAGGCAAGGCAGCTCACTGTTGCACAGGGTGGGATGGGATAGGGACTCCAGGAGCTAAGGCGGGCTCACATTCTGGTCGCTTCTACTGGAGCGACTACAGGGAAGTACAACTGCACGGCTAAAGCCTGGCACTGTGATCTGTCCCAGGACAGGCGATCCCAGAGGGAATTAGGGAGGCCAGCACAACTCAGTGCTGAAGGACATGGAGGTGAGTGAAGTCATCTTGTACTTTAAAGCACAGGAAACCTCACTCCCTGACTTTCCGGCCAGTCTTATCCTTGGAGGTCAAATATCCTCCCGAAGACACACGGAGCCGTGACGGGAGCCTGGCATTGTCTGTGCTGCACTTCTGTGCTTTTATAGCAAATGGATGCCGGCCATGCATTGTTTTGACTTTCCCTGAGTCTCTTTGAACAGGGAACTGTGACATTGATCCCTCTTCTCCAAGGGTGGGGAAGCTCTTTGGGAGGGGAAAGACTAATATCTCTTTCTCCTCTTTGGGCTGATTTCTGCTATTGTTGTACTTTATTTCTATTAGGTATAGCTGTCTCTTATCTGCTATGATCAGACATTTTTGTTCTTGTAGGACATGGAAAGAACATGAAAAATTCTGCATTTGGGTAAAAACTGGACAACTTGAAAATGTGAAATACTAGTGGGTTTTTTAGGGCTATTATTATTATCATCACTGCCAATAACAGCAGTATCTGGTGTCTGTGAGTGCTTTTCTTGATGGGTCCAAGACCTTTAAGACTGAGATTGGGTTTGTTGGTATCAGAGAATATCAGGAAGTGATTGTAGCAGCAGGGAAGTGCTGGTCAAAACACTACAGCTTTTGCTGGAACAGAATTAAAATATGGTGAAACCCCCAAACCCTTAAGCTAAGTGACCTAGGAGGAAAAGCAAGTTTTTCCAAGCATGCTCTAACCCAGTTCTAACAGACCTTGTCTGTGTTTCCATCAGTCATCCCATGGAAATCTGCCTGGGGTGACAGGACTTCCGAATTCCCTGTCAGCCATGGGAAAGGGAGTCTCTGCACCCAGAGATTCTGGGGCTTGGGCAGGGGTGAGATACATGTGATGAAAACATCCTGCCGGGGTGAGGGGTCCAATACCACGCAAGTGCTGCTCTCCATGAGTGTATCCCGAGCCCGCGGGATGGGCCAGGCAGGAATGCTGGACTGGCAACAGCCTCGGGGAGTAACATAAAGCGTCAGGGAGCAACATGAGCTGGGCACCACACGATGTTATCTTTTACACTTCCCAGGCCAACAAAGCGCTGTCTGTTAGGGCTGCTGGGTGTTTCCATCTGGGAATGTTGTGCTGGAGAAAGCTGTTTGATGGGCTGTGCTGCGAAGCTCAGGCTGCTGAGACTCACAGGAGAGCAGAGGGAGCACTGGCACCCTGGCATCCTGGTCCGTGTGTCCTGCACTGTCCCTGCTCCAGACAGCCCTCCCAGCCCTGGGATTATCCCACTGGCTCCCACAATCTGTCCTGCTCACTGGGATGGTATGGAAGTATCTCGCAGGTCGGGCAGGCCACAGTCCACTAACAAAACAGCTTTTGGGCATCTGTGTGCTCAGGGCTCCTCATGGGGAACCAAGAGTCCTAAATTCACACAAACTAGTTTAGATCTCTAAAAGTCTTTGTGAGATGGACCCTGGGGGCCTGTGGTTGACCTGAGAACTTCACGTGGGTCCCTGGTCCAGCCTCCTAATGATGGAACCACCCTGCTCCTGCTTTTAGTTGCTTGTGGAGCTGCAGGGTGTGCGTGGCACGTCCCACGTTACAGCAGTGACAGTCACCGGGTGCGACCTGCCAGGGGTCTGGCAGGAACACTCCCTGCTCTGCACATCGGATTTTTCACATTGTGGAGATTCTCCAAAGACAAGCACCTGGATAAATATAGCCCAGCCCAGCCCAACAGGTCTGGGCAGAGAGGAACCAAGTGTTCTTCAGCCTC